CTAGAATTTAATAATGTTACTGAACTTCCAGTGTCAATTTCCATGGAGACTTCTTGACCATTAATATTCACTCCCAATTTGTATTGTGGCGAGATTTCCGATTTCTGTCCCACAGAATTTACATTTTGCATAAATATAGTTACTGGTGTACTGTTTACGGAATTCAAACCACTGTCACCGTCACTGTCACTAGATTCACCAGTACGTGTTGCTACAATGTTATGTGCCTTGGCATTGCTATCGGTCTTCTTTTTCTTGAAACATACTTTTGCTAAGTGTCCCGCCTTTTTACAATAGTTACATGTTGTGTAGGTATGGTTGCACTTGTCCGCCAAATGTTGTGTAGATCCACATCTGAAACAAGTTTTCCCTTGTTTAAAAAGCTTTTGCCTTGTTTGCATCCCCGCCATTGAATGAATATTTCTTCTTGTTTGATATACTGTGGGCTTGTGTGGTTTCCGTTCTTTCGGCACTGAGAAGCAATTCTTTCGATTCTTTCTCTGCTAGCTCATCTGCTTGGGCAACCTTTACTGCTTGATCAAATGTCCTGTCTTCAGAAAAAAGTTTCTTTCTAGTACTTCTACTTCAAACGCCTCCAACAAATTGATCTCGTAATGCCCTTGTAAGATAGGTGCCAAAATTACAATGAACAGCTAAATGTTTCAGTTTGTTTGCATATTGAGCTACACTTTCGCTTTCCGTTTGAACTGCTTGATGAAATCGGTAACGTCTCTGCGACTTCGAGTACTTTCGGTTTGTAAAATCGTTTGAGTATTGTAATAATTTCTTCGTACGACTTTTCAGCTGGTAAATCAGGAAGGCAGAGATCTTTCAATGTACTGTATGTGCTTTTCCCCATCACCGAAATAGTTACGGCGACTTTCCTTTTATCTGCAGCTTGTTTTGCAGCTTCATTTGCCTCTGTTGCGACTTGGCCAATGTTATTTGCAATAAAATATGCATTCAGTCTCTCACTGTAATCTATAAAATCCCCGCCATCAAAAGGTTCCAGAACGCCGAAGCACGTATTATTTTGCTTTGCCATGTAATTTTAATCCTCGTCGCCAATTTGTAATGTATTTCTCGTGTATCCGAGTAAGGATTGAATGCCAAAAATAACTTTTAATCTCAAAATAAGTGTAATAACGACTTTCTCTAAAAAAAACTCTCTCGCCACGAACTGCTTTATGTGAGTTCACTCCTGCGCATGCGTCTATATCCAGTACTTCATATAATCAATATACAACAGAAATGCTGTAAAATACAGAAAATATAGCCTTGCGAAGTTAGCATATTTTCAGTATATTTGTATTACTATTACGTGCGGAAATTGTTACCATTTTCGGCTCAAAAATGGCTTTTTTCACTAAATCAAAAATTAGTCTAACATACAAGTTGTCTATTATAAAATAAATTAATTAGACTCTTTTGTCTGGAACACCGACATGGCCGCCATGGTTTTGTTAAGTTTGTCCCGGGGAATGAGTGCAAACGCTCTATTCGAGATTATTTTTCAAAAAATGAAGCTAACAGACTATTCCAAGACCTAACGGACTATCCCAAGACATGGATGCCTGGCAATGTAACTTCACCTGTTTTTAATTTTTAAGCGGTGACCTGTTTAGGCTAGGTTCTGGCCCCTGGAATAGTCCGTTTTTTTCATCTTGTCGGATGGAAACGTTGTTGGTTCTATTTCGATCTGATTTTTTGGACTTACTATCGGGAGGTCACACTAATGGTGTTCAATACAATCAGATCCAAGAAGCTTTCATACATTATTTTTCTTACCCGGTCTTCAAGGCGTGTTTTAAAAGCGTAGAATTCTGCTGAAGTATTGCTTCCCAAAGCTGCTTCGAATGTCATTTCCAAAATTGTGATGGTTAAGGTGACAGATGACACATCTAAACAAATATTGGTTATAAATCACATGTCCAATAGTAACTATCGGTATGCTTTGAAGATTTTGGGTAAACATCAGGATTTGGGCATCTCACTTGATAGAACTACTGTAGAGGTGGATTTGTAGGTGAAAATTTCGAGTAGAATTTTTATATATTTATTAGTCCTAACCAGAAATAGTTGCGAAAAATGCAACCATAGGCCCTCTGGCAGGAATCGAACCTGTGTGTGCTGTCTTGCGATTATGATGCAGCGCTCTAACCGGCTGAGCTACAGAGCTCTAACCACAAGTTCATGTATAAATACTAGAGTGCTGCCAGTGTTCGGTGTATGGATAGTTCCTCAGGGAGTTTTCTAAACAAGGGGCTTTGGTTCTCCAAGGCAAGGCCTCTAGGAATTACTCCCCTGCGCACACTTACAAACCACACAAAAGTATTCTTTTAAGAAATAACCATTGTATCCATCCATCGCACTCAGATCACTGTCCTTCTTGACTAAGAGAACAACGGCTATTGGAAGATGCGGCCATTCATTTCTTACCTTCACACGTGCCACTGATCAGAAATTTTCCAGGGCTTGTACAGAAACATTCGTAAGTTCCAGGGTAGTTCCTACAAGCTTGATCAGCACCACAATTATTGTCAGATGATGTACATTCATTAGTATCTAGTAACAGAAAGTGGACATTTTTGAAACACCATAAAAAATACCAACCCAAAAAGAAATTAACAACGACAAACTATTTATAGAATAATTCTTTGAAAGGTTTCCTGCGAGATGCGCTGACTACTAATTTATGTGGGCACTAATGACGGAGATGTAGCTGGGGGGGGGGGGGGGGGGCTTCCCCC